GTTACCTGCCTGGAACCTCTTTCCACGTTGTCTCCATACTCTAACGAGCCTATCGATGAAGTCGAGACAGTTCCTAACTGTCTGAGTTGCTACCCGGGTACCAGAAGCATTTAGGAGGTCATTTCGTTAAGCTGTGGCAGTCTGGAACCTGTGACGCCTTGTCTGTACGAGCAAAAATTGGTCTTGGCGCTTCGTTGTAGCCCTAGAACGACCTCCATCATGACGTCTGGAAGGGTTTCCGTAAGTTTGGAAACGATTCCACATTCTTGCCACCACACTTTGAGACACACCATTGTCTGCTGCAACCTGACGTTGGGACATGCTAGCTTGCAGCATTCCGATGCCCCTATCCATTTCACCGTCATTTAATAGTTGTTTGTTTCGTATTTGTGCCATATAAAAACAACAACACGCAAAGAATATTCATGAAATTAATTTCCTTAAATTTTAACAACGCCTTACTTAGCCAAGCTTAGCTTTTGAAAGGGTTGTACGCGTGGAAAAGCGTGCGCTCGCATTTATGGTTGACTGAACACACCCACACGGGACGATTTGGAAGGCTAACATATTCGCCCAAAACAGTGCGGAAGGAAAATATGATATCCTTTCTAACATTTTCATTTTTTTATTTAAATATATATGTGATCCTTAGCAAAATGTGAGTAGTATATGTACAATATATGAGTTGACGCATGGTATACGAGTTGACGCATGGTATACGAGTTGACGCATGTTATACAAGTTGACGCATGATAAAAAGGTGACCTGATAATGAGGTGACCTGGTATATTAGGTGACAACAACATATACATGTATGAGGTTACACGGGACAAACGAGTTGACACATGCTATATGAGGTGACACAGGATAAATGAGTTGACATGCTATTACAGTTGACACATGTCATGACATATAAGGGAACATATGAGGTGACACAGGATAAATGATCATAAGTTGACACGAAATACGTATAAGGGGACACCTGATATATGAGGTGACACATGATAAATGAGTTGACACCTGATAAATGAGGTGACACAGGATAAATGAGTTGACACCTGATATATGAGGTGACACAGGATAAATGAATTGACACCTGATATATGAGGTGACACAGGCTAAATGAGTTGACACCTGATATATGAGGGGACACAGGATAAATGAGTTGACACCTAATATATGAGGTGACACAGGATAAATGAATTGACACCTGATATATGAGGTGACACAGGATAAATGAGTTGACACCTGTTATATGAGGTGACACAGGATAAATTAGTTGACACCTGATATATGAGGTGGCACAGGATAAATTAGTTGACACCTGATATATGAGGTGATACATGATCTATGAGGTGGTACATAATAAATGAGTTGCCACCTGATCTATGAGTTGACACAGGATAAATGAGTTGCCACCTGATATATGGGGCGACACATAATAAATGAGTTGCCACCTGATCTAAGAGGTGGTACAGGATAATTAAGTTGACACCTGATATATGAGGTGGCACATGATAAATGAGTTGACACCTGATATATGAGGTGATACATGATCTATGAGGTGGTACATAATAAATGAGTTGCCACCTGATCTAAGAGGTGGTACAGGATAATTAAGTTGACACCTGATATATGAGGTGTCACATGATAAATGAGTTGCCACCTGATATATGGGGTGACACAGGATAAATGAGTTGACACCTGATCTATGAGGTGACACAGGATAAATGGGTTGACACATGATCTATGAGGTGGTACAGGATAATTGAGTTGACACCTGATGTATGAGGTGGCACATGATAAATGAGTTGACACCTGATATATGAGTTGGCACAGGTTAAATGAGTTGACACCTGATCTATAAGGTGACACAGGCCAAACGAGTTGCCAACTGATATATGAGGTGGCACATGATAAATGAGTTGACACCTGATCTATGAGATGACATATGATAAATGAGTTAAGCGTGATATATGAGGTGACACAGGATAAATGAGTTGACACCTGATATATGAGGTGGCACATGATAAATGAGTTGACACCTGATCTATGAGATGACATATGATAAATGAGTTAAGCGTGCTATATGAGGTGACACAGGATAAATGAGTTGACACCTGATATATGAGGTGGCACAGGATAAATGAGTTGACACCTGATCTATGAGATGACACATGATAAATGAGTTGACACATGATCTATGAGGTGGCACAGGATAAATGAGTTGACACTTGGTCTATGAGGTGGCACAGGATAAATGAGTTGCCACCTGATATATGAGGTGACACAGGATAAATGAGTTGACACCTGATCTATGAGATGACACATGATAAATGAGTTGACACGTGATCTATGAGGTGGCACAGGATAAATGAGTTGGCACTTGGTCTATGAGGTGGCACAGGATAAATGAGTTGCCACCTGATATATGAGGTGGCACAGGATAAATGAGTTGACACCTGATAAATGAGATGACACATGATAAATGAGTTGACACATGATCTATGAGGTGACACAGGACAAACGACTTGACACATGATATATGAGGTGGCACAGGATAAATTAGTTGCCACCTGATATATGAGGTGACACAGGATAAATGAGTTGACACCTGCTATATGAGGTGACACATGATAAATTAGTTGACACCTGATCTATGAGGCGACACATGATAAATGAGTTGCCACCTGATATATGAGGTGACACATAATAAATGAGTTGACACCTGATATATGAGGTGACACAGGATAAATGAGTTGACACCTGATATATGTGATGACACAGGATAAATGAGTTGACACCTGATATATGAGGTGACACAGGATAAATGAGATGACACCTGATATATGAGATGACACAGGATAAATGAGTTGACACCTGGTATATAAGGTGAAAAGGATATAAAATCGGACACAGGGGGCATGAGATTACTAAGGACTAATATTCATTTATGATTTAACTTTTCTTGTTAATTATATTTTTGACACGTTTTACATTTCCTTTTAAATGTGATTTGCAAAATTAAAAAAAAGGGAAATTATTAATTGTATTTCTGTTGCATTTTATCTTTGAAACATTAACGCCACTACTCAATCCCAGTATAAAGATATCGATTTAGTATCCTTTACCTTTTTAGATTTAACAACTTGCGTAATAGCAAAAACCAAAAGAAAGGACAACAATCAGCTAAACTTTATCGGCATATACTGTTAAAGTGGTATTTCTCGCGTGTAGAAATATTCGTGGTTTCCTCCTTTAATTGATAGCGGTGTGGAAATGCTCGCGTTAACACTGGTTCTGTATCTATATTATTATGTCTATAGTATAAAATATTTAATCGCGTGTTGATATCTTTGCGCTGATTTACTCAACGCGTAAAACGCGAGCATTCCACCGTTACAATAATGTTCACGTTATACAGTATGTCATTAAGATGCAGATCAGTCACACCTTCCAACATTTTGTACATGCTTTACACTGTCATGAATGCTAGAAGCCACTCCTAAAGATCTAAAACAGTTTGCAAGTAGAGATACTAAAATGATAGACTATATAATAAAAATCAATTTACAATCTACAATAAATTCAGAAGTCAAAAATAAATTAAACTTTTTTATTATATTTAAATTTTGCGCTTTTAAAAACCATATACATAATAAATATTGTAGCTATCGAATTATCACGCTGGTGTCGTCTCACTTAACCAACTTTCCCAACTTTACTATAGGACAGGTAACTAGCTACTAGAGGACAATAGATGTTGACCCGTGGTCATCTATAGTCTGTTACAATTTAACACATAACAAGCAGTTGATTGGAATCTGTTTTATTCTTTTTATTGCACTTCAACTACAACATATATGAGAAACATGCGGATAACTGTACATTTTTGAAGAAGCATTTTACATGTAGTTAAGGAATTCATACAATAAACGATATTCTATCACATCGGCGAGGCATCACAAGATAAATATTTGTAAGCACAAAAGGACAGTCTAAGTTGAATACTTTGCTGATCAAGGCCTCGTGTCTTATAGTGAAAGGACGTAGCACCAGAAGTGAAGCTGATATCCTTTTCGTGACGTAGAACAGATACTATCAAGAAATGTTTCATTATTATGGTAGTATATATGTAACTTAATATTTAACGTTGATACATCTCTCCGACTTTTTCTCCCCTTGTTATATTTTCCTCAATAATATGAACGCATATACATATATATCCAATATTGGTTATGAAATGAATACAAATCATTAAGTACAGTTAAAAAACAAGAGTACCGCGGGGCGGAACAATATACGCCCGTTGAATGCCTTATAGTGTTATATACTTTATTACATTGAAATAAGATCTACATCATTCAAAGAGTGGTTAGCTGACATGCTATGAAAATGCAGGAGAAAATCTCCGGATAAAAAATTCAAATACTGAAATGAACAAAGGGCAATAACTTTTGCAAAAATCGTTGAATCAAAATTCTTTTCAAGCAAACACAACAACATATCATGATTATTAAGCCCACTAAGTTTCAAAGCAATCTGTCACAAAATTTAGGAGGAGATCTCCGGACAAAAAAATCAAATATTGAAATGAACAAAGGGCAATAGCTTTTGGAAAAATTGTCAAATCAACAATTCTTTTAAGGGAGACACAACTTCATATCATGATTATAATGTATACCAAGTTTCAAAGAGATCCGTTGAAAAATGTAGGAGGAGATTGCCGGACAAAAATCAAATACTGAAATAAACAAAGGGCTAAATCTTTTGCAAAAATTGCCGAATCAAAAAAAAAAAATTCAAGCAAACACAACAACATATCATGATTATTTGGCCTATTAAGTTTCAAAGAGATCCGTTGAAAAATGTAGGAGGAGATTGTCGGACAAAAATCAAATAAACAAAGTGTAAAGGGCAATAACTTTTGCAAAAATTGTCGAATCAAATTTCTTTACGGAAGACACAACTTCATATCATGATTATAATGTATACCAAGTTTCAAAGAGATCGGTCGAAAAATGTAGGAGGAGATTGCCGACAAAGTAAATATTATCACAGAAAGTATGAAGTCAATACTAACCAACAGTTACATCAATCTAGATGTAGGATTAAAGTGTAATGTGTAAGGCAACGGGTGTTTCTTGAGTAATAATATCTAGTGTAATTGAATTTGCCTAATTCTTCTGAAATCGTATATCTAATATAGTGAAATACATGTAACTTAAATACAAAAATATTCGACAATTTTGCTAAGATCTCCTATGCATTCGTATAGTCAGTGATAATCTTATAAATTCAAATTGCATAATTCTTACTAGTTCATATTTTTTTTTCTTTAATTGAGCTCTATTTGCCTATTCTATTCGTTCTTCGAGGAATGTAATAAATTATTTGCTTTAAATAATATCTGCCTTTTATAAAACATAGCAATTAAAATACTTGTATAAGTCAACAATACAATTGTAATTCATATACACTTTATGCATAATTTAAAAACAGATGCGCATATTCACTCAGATTTATTAAAAATAGAACTAGTCTTAATAGTACCTAGATTTCGAATTTGTACTGAATAATAACTTTCACAACATTCTATAGTAGTACATTTAGAAATAAATCAAACATGTAAAAATGGAACTTGACATATACCATATACCTAAGTTCTTAATCAGACAGATTTTAAATAGAATATAGCCAAATAACACCTCACCATAACTAAAATTAAAAAAAAATCTATGTAAGGACCATCACGTGATCAGTGAAATATTATCTCTGTTTGGTATCATTGGATACTCTTTATGGTATACAGGTAGAAATTTATATTGGCCAGGTGACCCTGAATGTTGAGTGTCGAACAATAGCCCTTATTATGTGTAATATTTAAAGTTTAGTTCATAAAAGTACAGATAACAAGAAATTATATATATATAAACCTTGTTTAATTAATATTCATTTATCAGGCACTTTAGCATAACAGAAAAAAACTTACGAAATAATTCCAAAAAATATTTACTTCACATGAATTTAATTGACTTTAAAAAAGCACTCCAACATTAGATACACCTTAAATATATAGGCTAACGATTAATTAGTTTCATTAAATTAATGTATATATTAAATATGTGTAAAAATGTCATGACGTAACAAACTTTAAAATATCCATAAAAGACACTACACGAACAATGACTTTCATACAGAACTAAGTATTAGCCACATCTTAAACATGGACTTACATAATACACCCTACACACAGTAAAGACACTACACGAACAATGACTTTCATACAGAACTAAGTATTGGCCACATCTTAAACATGGACTTACATAATACACACTACACACAGTAAAGACAAGTAAATTAAGTTCATGCTTCTCATAAATGCTGGAACCATTAACTAATCTGGTCAACATGATGTAAGATGAATCGGCGTACGTGATGACATCAATATGATCATTCGTTAACCTGTCCTTAAGCTGACCAAGGTGATAATCTAAACGTCAATATTTCTTCTTTTCCATCTTTATGGATCATTCATCAATCAACTTTCACAAATATAATCATGTCGTACATTTTATACATCAAGCAAAGGAATTTAGATATCAGCGCGTGCGTATTATGATAAAGCCACACGATCATGAACAATTTCTCACAAACCGGTATGGTGTTCCAATGGGTGTCGGATTAGAACCTTTTATGTATATCACTATCACCTTAAATTTTCGTGCAACTTTTTTTCTATTGAAAATTAAAATTATGTGAGAACATCCACATTACCGATGTGCTTACAAAAGAAGCCCAAAGGAGCTTTCCGGAAACCTGAGGGATGTTCAGTAGGGTGAATGTTTGAAGCGTTCTTTTGTCCGCCCGCGTACTATGTACTCAGTTTGCCGCAAACATTCGCGAGATTTCCAAACACAGAACAATCGTGAACATATGTTTCCTAATTCCGTTAGGTCCACAAAGCATTCACCAACAAAACTCATTACGTGTCAAAGGATTTATGTATGTCAATGAAGTTTGCTCATTGACACTCTTAGACACACGTGATTGTATTCACGGTAGCCTGATTTTCCTCAGCAGGATCTTCACTATCATACCAAAGTCGTACATATCATTGAATTGTTCGAAGTCTCGGGAGACTTGATGATGATCCATTGAAAATATTGCGTCTGTCACTCTCTGTAAAACAAACAAACAATGCTACATCATACGTTAGAGGGGGAATACACTGCAATAAACGTTTGCACAATACACTACCGGGGCAATACACGTTAACACCATACAGCAATAAACGTGTTCACAATACACTACAGGGGCAATACACGTTAACACCAAACAGCAATAAACGTGTGCACAATACACTACCGGGGCAATACACGTTAACACCATACGGCAATAAACGTGTACACCATACACTACCGGGGCAATACACGTCAACACCAAACAGCAATAAACGTGTGCACAATACACTACAGGGGCAATACACGTTAACACCAAACGGCAATAAACGTGTTCACAATACACTACAGGGGCAATACACGTTAACACCATACGGCAATAAACGTGTACACCATACACTACAGGGGCAATACACCTTAACACCATACGGCAATAAACGTGTACACCATACACTACAGGGTAAGTACACGTTAACACCATACGGCAATAAACGTGTACACCATACACTACAGAGTCAGTACACGTTAACACCATACAGCATTAAACGTGTGCACCATACACTACAGGGGCAATACACTTTAACACCATACAGCAATAAACGTGTGCACCATACACAACCGGGGCAATACACGTTAACACCATACAGCATTAAACGTGTGCACCATACACTACAGGTGCAATACACGTTAACACCATACAGCAATAAATGTGTACACAATTCACTACCGGGGCAATATACGTTAACACCATACAGCAATAAACGTGTGCACCATACACTACAGGGGCAACATACGTTAACACCGTACGGCAAAAAACGTTTGCACCATACACTACAGGGGCAATACATGTTAACACCATACAGCAATAAACGTGTGCACCATACACTACAGGGGCAATACACGTTAACATCATACGGCAATAAACGTTTGAACCATACGCTACAGGGGCAATACAGGGTTAGTACACGTTAACACAATACAGCAATAAACGTGTACACAATTCACTACAGGGTTAGTACACGTTAACACCATACAGCAATAAACGTGTGCACAATTCACTACAGGGGCAATATACGTTAACACCATACAGCAATAAACGTGTGCACAATTCACTACAGGGTTAGAACACGTTAACACCATACAGCAATAAATGTGTGCACAATACACTACAGGGGCAATACACGTTAACACCATACAGCAATAAACGTGTGCGCCATACACTACAGGGGCAATACACGTTAACACCATACGGCAATAAACGTTTGCAACATACACTACGGGGCAATACATGTTAACACCATACGGCAATAAACGTTTGAACCATACCCTACAGGGGCAATACACATTAACACCATACAGCAATAAACGCGTACATCATACACTACAGGGGAAATACACGTTAACACCAAACAGCAATAAACGTTTCCACCATACACTGCAGGGGCAAAACACGTTAACACCATACAGCAATAAACGAGTACACCATACACTACAGGGGCAATACACGTTAACACCATACAACAATAAACGTGTACACCATACACTACACGAGCAATACACGTTAACACCATACAGCAATAAACGAGTACACCATACACTACAGGGTAAGTACACGTTAACACCAAACGGCAATTAACGTGTACACCATACACTGCAGGGGCAGTTCACATTAACACCATACGGCAATTAACGTGTTCACCAAGTGCTATAGGGATTGTTTAGGGTTAAAAATACACAAGAGATCAATGGGAAGTTTCTGCATTTTATTTCAAGCGAACTAGTTCTAACAGATACAACTATAAGATTACTCGACTACCAAGTATAACAGTACATAATAATGATATCTTTGATCATAAAAATGTCAGGACATATGCTACCTAACTGTACTAATGTCGTGTTCTGAACTAATTATACTGTAACATGCATTTACGAATAGTTATCTGGACATTTCTACAAATAAACTACAGTAAAACCCCGTTTACTCGAACTCGTAGGGTCCAGATTAATAGTTCGAGGAATACATGGTTTCCGACGAATCAGAGGTTCGACCGACATCGTCATTTTTTAACAGGTGGGACAACAGACAGTACGAGCACTGCAACTATCGCGAATAGTAGATGATAGAAGAAAAGAGAAGTTTAATCAAGATGACAGCATTTTATGAGATTTGAAATAGCTTAACAATAAGAACATATAGCCACCGGTATTAAGAAAGTACATGTTGCTTGTGTAGCGTACTTGTCGTTTTGACATAGTCCGCCATACTGTAATCGGCTACGTTAAGTTTACGAAATATCAAAACGAGAGAAACTCTTTGATCATTTTTAGAATGAAGAAAATCCTGAATCCTTGTTATCATCATATTTATTGAAAACGAAATTAACAATCATGACGTAATCAAGTTTGAATATCTTTAAAGTTGGTCGGATTCCGCTATGTGAGTTCCGCTTATATTGCCATGTCGAAATATGGTTTTACACACCAAGTGAATTAACACTTACGCCAAATCATCGATGTCATAACTTCGTTTGGAAAAAAATAAATATGCACGAAAAATGATAATGCAGCTACAACAGGGTAACGGTACGGTTTCTTTATGATACTGCCGTTAATACTTTAATTAACTGACGTCTAGCCGACACCTTTTATAAGCACAATGAGCGTGGAACGCAGCCTGTGCCTCGAGACATTTCGAATGCAGTGCCGGTAACTGTGATGCACAGGTTTAATATCTGTCAGGCGTGACAGGTGATCACACCTGTTCTACGAACGGATAGGATTTAAACTATGACAATGTAGAGTCGAGGGCACATTTTTGTTCGAGGAATACGGGGTATTCGAGGAATGACGGTTCGACTAATCCGGGGTTTCTTTACAAAGAATATGTACGAACTCGGTCGAGACCAAACTAGCTGTTCGACAAATAAGGGGTATCCGAGTAAACCGAGTTCGACGAAGTGGGGTTTTACTGTATACTAAGATGCACTAGTATAACACTCACATCGTTCTTTGAAGAAATCTGTACGGATTCAGCAGAAATGTTTCCATGGACCAGATTGTGGCTGTGAAGGTAGACTAAACTTTCTGACAAACTCTGAATGATGTTGAAAGCGTCCCTCACACGTAACTCTCCAGAGTTACAAAGAAATTCCGTCAGCGGCTTACTCCCTTTCTTGTGGCGGAATGTTTTCAACATTTCCAAAACAACATTGGTCATTTCAGTCTCTGAAGAAAACAACAACAATTTCATATAACGATTTGCATTATGAAATCAAATAAATAGATTATATGTAGATTGTTCATCGTTTAAAAACAAGTTTCAAGCCTATGAATCAATATATTCACATATAGTTTCCTTCTCACATCAAAATTGACGAAATCTTTTCTTATTATTCATTATCACTAAATTGCCAACCTGTGGGAAGCGCAAATGAACTAATGTCATTATGCCTTTGAAATCGATTCCTTTAGTGTACCTCCAAGAGTGGTTAACCAAATAGATTCGAGTATTTGGCAAGCATTGAAAGAAAGGGGAACAAAATAGCAGTTATTTAAACGTTTATACATTTTTGCATCGAGAAAGTAAATCTTTAAATATGTTTTGCCTCACTTCGTGTTACCCGTAGCTATTTTGTTATGTGATATACTTTATGTGACTATCTGTATCGTCATAGTGAGTTTAGAAAGCTGTTTATACTGTGGAAACTGTCAAAATGGCAAATGTGTCAGAAAGCTCTTTGTTAAGATAAGTTTGGTATTTGTGCATACCCTATGACGGGTGACATTTTGTATTTGTTCCATTCATTGTAAGATTAGTTATCATTTAGTTATATTTGTGAGTGGCGATCTATTTACCGGATTTCGCGCCTTTGTAGCTCGAGTTTTGCTGCATTTGGAGCTGCAACAAGATATAGTGATAATAAACAAATATGATATTTCTGCAACAGAAAACTCTTGAAAACAATAGTTAAAGCAACAACAATCACGTAAGGTGCGTGGATCGTAGCTCAAGGTCCGATCGATTTTATTTTATTTTGAAATATTACATTATCGTTCCATAGATAATGTTTATTATGGTCCAATACATGTGACCTAGACCTACGGTTCCTGCAGCTGCAATCACGTTTATACAATCAAATGTCGACATAATGCCCCTCCTTTGATAGCCAATTTCATGATTCTAAACAATCCATTTTGTTTTCTCTTTATATTTTGACCCCCGCCCCCTCCCCTCCCCTTCATTGAATAATGTCAAATTCAGTCGAACGAATGGCAACACCATAAAGAGGTTCAAACGTTAAAACACATATTTAAATGATAACACAAAATTGTAAAAAGGATAACCTTATCTACTTAAATTGCATATCGGTTATATACGCCTTTTTCCTATTATGACTTGTTTTCCGTTTCTGTATTCTCAATGACCTAACGATTGGCCTATTCTAAATAATACATATAATCAAGAAGACTAAACACAGAATACTTTTCTCTTTTTCCATGTATTTGCAAATGTGTAGAGAAAGGGGTTGAGAGCCGAGTTGATTGGTAGGACAAAGACCATCACCCAGGCGTAGACATCACCCGACACACTACCTCCCAGTGACGTCCATATTCCTACAATACACATGGAATTTCGGTACTTGTAGTTAATAAACACGTAGCTGCTTTATGTTTGTGCTATCGTTTTGGTATAATAAAACAGATAAATATGTGATTTTAAGATATAGCAAGTTTCTGGTTCCCTTCGACCATTGACTCCCTCGGCTTTTCCTTACATAAGCATACTTACAAAAAAAATTGATAAATGTAAAGATAACTATTACACTGATAATTATTTTTATTACAGAATTGAAAAAAGAGACGTTCTTCTATACATACCAAGGACACCAATAGGAAACCAGCAGAAAAAGTCGGTAGCGACAACTGCAGTGAGTGCTCGTGCCACAGCGATGTCTCTGTCCTGTTTGTTAGTCATCCTCCTCAGTGTCATGTGGGTCCGACTCTTTCGGTAAATCACAACTTGACAAACTGCAATCACAATGAAGATAACAAAGTTCAGTCCAACAAAGATGGCGACTGAATATCCCGAGCCAGGTGTACTGGAATCTGACAACGGAAGTGCAAGACATACACCGGAAGAGCTATAGAACTCTCCCTTGAAGTAATCCTTGAAGCTAGAAACCGGAAGTACGGCTATAACTATGGAGAAGATCCATATGACAACAGATGTCCCTATAGCAGATCTCTTTGTAAACTGCTTTAATGAATGTGGAAACACAATTGCCGCAGTTCTATCAAGAGTTATAAAGAGGATGACAAAAGTCGATGCTTCACTGGATATTGTTGATAAAATGCCACTCGCTGTACATGTAATACTGTGTCTCCAGGTCTCTTCCTCCCACACGTAGCGATCTCTGTACGCGGCATCAGCAACGCCAATACTAATCATATAGACACCCATAAGGATATCGGACAAGCTCAGGTTGATGACGAAAATGGAGTAACTTTTCATCAGATTACCCCGATCGTACTTCAGTCGGTATACCAATACAAACAAATTGCCGAAGACTGCACATAGTCCTATGATCCAAAGAGCTATTCTCAAAATGGACAGACGGATTAGATCTGTACACGAGGAGATACTGTCACGAGGGGCGAAGCAATTCGGATCAGTTACCGAGACAGGTTTGGCACAGCAAAGCGTGTAGGAATCAACGTACAAATAGCCAAGACTTGTAAGTCCTTTAAATATGTGTTCTGCTAGCTGAATACGATTGTTCCGAAGATCCAGTGTCTTGACATAAGCTAAATTGTTAAATGCGTCATGAGCAATCCAATTTATTTGGTTGGAGCTGAGATTCAAATACGTTAAGGCATCGCAGTCGACAAATGTGTCAGAGGATAGATTGTTTAGATGAGATCCAATGAGGTAAAACTCTTTCAGTAAGTGCAAACCTGAAAACGCAATTTCATCTAAGGTGACAATAGGATTATGATTCAAGGTTAGATATTTTAACCTTAAAAGCATTGCAAATGTATGGGCGGGTAAATTAGTTATGTTGTTATGGCTGATGTCAAGGCTTATGAGAGAGTTGAGTCCAGTCAGAACTGAACGATTACTAAAGGATAACGAATCAATGTGGCAGTGCTGCATAGAGAGTACGAACACTGCAGGTAATGGTATTGGAAGATTATCCGTCCAATCATTAAGACGTATTTGTATAGTTAGTCCTCGCAACGTTACGGGAAGTTCGCCAAATATTTGAGATTTATTGACTTTTTTGTCAACACAGTGAAATATTAGACCTTGACAGGAGCAACCGTCCGGACAGATGACGTCACAGTGTCGCTCGTCATCAGCTCGCGGACAATGACCAACTCCGTCACAGACCTGACTGAGCGGTATACACTTTCTACTGCCATGGCATCTGAAATGACCAGGACAAGTGTAGGAATCTGAAAAGCAAGAGGGAACATAAATATAGCATCGATAAAATAATGGTGCACAAACTCAGCATACATCAATTTGATATAACTGAACATTATACTGTCATATCTTTTAATAGCAAAGTTTTACTTTATACACAAACAATGTACGTATATGTATTTAAGGTGTCGCAACGTTTCAATACCAACTGGCCCTTTTGTCAAGCTATGGCTGATTGAGCGATTTGTATTGTTTACCTGTGCAACATTGTGACGAAATAGTCTATTTCATATGTCACTCGACACGGGACGTTTCGCCTATCGATAGAGATTGTATACGCACTGTTCTTAGTAAAAATACAAATTGTGCACTTAGTCATAGCTTGACAAAGATACCAGTCGGTCTTGAAACCTTCGTCCAAACAGTTGCATATTCCGTCATTCTGGTCTGGTTACTTACTACAAAGTTGTTCGTCTTCGTTGTTTGGACAGTGCGGTACGCCATCACACAGAAACCTGACATGAAGGCAGTAGGAGTCTGGGCATTTCATGAAGTTTTCTGGGCAAGAAATTTTTTCTGAAAGGAAATCAACAAACAGATTGAATTCTGTAAACAGATACCGTGCCAGTAGTCATGTTTATAAACACTTGGGTTTCCAGTGATTTTTGCCAATATTTTTTCACATCAAGAAATAAATCGTCAAGATACCTTTTCAAGTATCACAGACGTTGTGAATCGTGAATAAACACCATCACAGAGAAGAAGAAAACATCAAGATCAGAAAAGTACAAAAAAGTTCACCCAAGATCAATTTGTCTCAATCGAAAACGTAAACAAATGGATGCGCATGAATACACTGACTCTAAACAAGATAAAACTTAAAATTAGGATGGTCCCATACTGCTTCTGTCTTTCAGGTCGTTCTCCTGAAATTGTGAGTGTAATCAAACACAATATCCAATGTAGATCGTAGCGACTCATTTCTAGGTAAAATGCAAAGAGCAACAAGGGAACAAGACTAATGTGTCTTGCAAAAGGATACATGCAGTCACATGCTAACCTCTGACGTAATAATCCCTACGACCTTAGTTTGTTGACCTCTGAACAATGAACTACCGCAAGATATACATGTATGACTCTCGAAACAGAGGTGAACCGAGAGTTATATTTACCACAATTTTGTAGATGTGTCAGATCTCTGCAGGTACTCGGCTCACCAGTGACGTCAAAGTCCATCAAACAGCGATGATGAGGATAATAACTCATTCCATTCTGACACAGTCGCTGCGGCTCCAAGTATTTTGGGTCGATTAAAGTTTTATCTATGAAAGCCAAAGTAAAGTTAACGTTAACAACCATGAAAATACAAGGACATCAAAAGCGATACAAAAGGACAACAAAAGGAAATGAACAGACTACATCATCTGTAGAATTATATCATCATAACAGAATAAAAGAACCTGGAAGTAAAGAAAAAAAGAGAATACCGATATATTAACTCATGACCGTTGAAACTAGGGCAAAAAACGATCTACAGATTTTGTAGTGGATGAAGAATCAGACCAGGTGTCCGGAATGGTAAGCGCCTTTACATCTCGCTTTGCAAATCCAAGTCCATTTCCAGAAATGTCATGTCCTCGAAGCTAGAACTGGAGTAGTGACTCCGGAAACCTCACGACTATTCATGGACAGAACTCAAAAAATCAATATTTATATTGCACAACTCTAGAGCCTGTGATTAATATCCATATTTTTCTTAATATACGTATCCTGATGATCAATAGATTACCTGTGTTAAGCAAACGTTTCCTGACGGCGAGACTTCACTCTACGGCAAGGATATTTATGGTTGCCATCGTGGTCAGCTATGTAATTTTAATGCCTGTCACGTTTGAAATTTTGTTCACAATCCAACCACGATTTTTTCTCTCTCTTTTTTGTAATGAGGTTTAACGTAGTTATGCTTTATTTGGTGTCTCCCTCTTAACACCTTTTGCCCTTTTGTATCGATTGTGAGTTCACATGTGTCCCTGTGCGTTGGCGTAATGATGTTGATAGAGAGGTTCCCAACAGAGCGGTATCTGGTTATCATGTTTATCCCGAGCTAGGTAACTTTCAAATCGCATGAAAACAAAAGGGTTACCGAGTGTCTTTTAGAATTTGAAAATAATTACGTAGAATTAGATAATTATGATTATTAACCATCACAAGTTTGGAGACACTTTTATCCCACAATGTTAAGATTTTATAAGTACTAGAAAACCATATATTTCTCTGAAAAATACCTCTTCCTGTTTTCGATATGGGAAACTATTGCCGTAAACTATAATGTCACGATGAGAAATGGCGGCGAAAATATTGATACTTTACGTCCTTATAAGAAAATTGACAAATGAAATAACGCTTGGAGTTAATACACTAGTGGGTAACCACCAACAGACTTAGCAACTCCTTATAGGTTTATCTATAGTTTTTGAAAGGTTGATATAATAGTGTTACCTTCCGTGCACACGGGTGGGGTAATGCGTAGTACAGGTCTAGATTCGTCGTCCCCTTGTAGTTTGATCCAGCGGATAGGTACATTCGAACTATTCATAAATGTGCGCGTCCCTTGGCAGACTGGATGATGTACTGGTGGATCTTGATAACAGCTTTTAAACGAAACAAATATTGGACGTTCTATTCATATTACACGTTTAAACATTTCTATCTTGTACAGACTCGGCTGACAATCACAGTAAATGCATGTGTTATATAAAAATAAAGTTTATAATATGCATCGTGTAACACATCTTGTATTTCGTTCCGCTACAAATGTTTACAGTCTGTAATATTTACCAAGATGCGCACGTATCACGAGAGAGAATAAAACAGTCGTCGATGATTGAATGTGTTGTGTTCCCCATGCATCCAGTTTTAAATGACATGTCTAGTGCGGACATGAAACATGGTGTCAGACGTGCCAGTCAGTGAATACTGTCGTTACTACGTCTGTAAGTAATGTCAATGAATAGTGACGGTCTGAACATTTTGTATTGAAACATGAAACAGACGCTCAGGAACACGTGCTCGACGAGAACCCGCACTCTGAATCATTTGAATGAGATATTGAAAACGAGGGTGAGAGGCTTAACACTATTGGTATAAATACAAATACTACAAGCATGGCTCTAGAACGACTCCTTCCTCCGAGCAAAGTAACCTTTAGCACCAAAACGGGGGCTAATCTTGCGGAAAATTGGAGGAAATGGAAGGAGGAATTTCTGCTGTTTAGCGAAGTGCCCCAAAAGGTAAGAGCAGATAGAAAAACTGAAATGATGAAATATTTTATTGGGCCTGAAGATCGTGAGATATATTATACTCAGAGATAGGGAGGGGACGAAACCACACGAACTGTTCAAAATGCATTGGATGTTTTTGACAGATATTATGAGCCAAAGAAAAACGAGACTGTGGAACGCCTTAAGTTCAATATCAGAGTACAAGGGGAGGAAACTATGGAAAAATCAACCTATAAACCAAACAACAGAGCAAATAATTCGGGGCAAGAAAAGAAATGCAAGTTATGTGATAGGATACATGAACACAAAAAGGAAAAGTGTCCTGCATAAGGTCAACAATGCAGAAAATGTAAGGGAATGAACCACTTTGAAGTGAAGTGTAAAGAATTCAAACCGAAACCTTATTAACAGCCATTGAGAAGAAACACACAAAGGGTGCACAATGTGGAGGAACAGTCAGACTGTAATGAAGATTATTTTGAACTATATACAATTACACAACAGAACTCAGAATGTATTGTGCCTTCAGTTAACTCCAACAATCTGATGGCAAGGTTACATATAGGTAACCAACAGGTACAATTTCAGTTAGACAGTGGTGCACAGTGCAAACAACAGTTATTTCCAAAGGAAAATGTGTTCTCAAGGTTGTCAATAAAAATAAATGGCACTAAATTCAACCTAGATATTTTCGTAGTGAAAGGAAACTACACACCACTATTAGGAAGCAGGAATATGGTAGGCATGGACCTGATTCAAGTTCGTTATGAGAACATTTTGGCAGTGGGCCAAACAGATAGTGTCATGTCAAGTGCCTTAAGTATTAAGGACATCACTACAAGTTTTGCTGAAATTTTTGAAGGAAATGGCTACTTAGAGGGACAGTATCACCCTATTACTGATGAAACAGTACCACATGTGGTACATCCTCCTAGAAAGGTACCAATTGCACATCGCGATAGAGTGAAAATTGAGCTGGAGAGATTGAAAGATTTAGGTGTGTTGACGCCTGTAACTGAACCTTCACCATGGGTGTCAAGCATGGTTGTAGTTGTTATACTCAACAAGCTCAGGATTTGTATTGATCCAAAGGATTTAAATAAAGCTCTGAAACGTAGTCACTACCCTCTACCGACAAAAGATGACATACTGCCAAAGCTCCACAATGCTAAAGTCTTTAGTGTCCTTGATGCCCGTTATAGTTTTTGGCATTTTGAGCTGGATCGAGAAAGCTCACTGCTAACAACCTTTAATACGCCATTTGGCCGATATAGACGGTTAAGAATTGGTTTGTCCACAGCTCCCGGGGAAATTCAAAGGAGGTAGGACCAAGCTGCTGAAGGCTTAGTAGGGGTTAACAGCATAGTTGACGATATACTTGTTTATGGTGAAGGTGATACAGGAGGAAGCAACTAAGGACCATGATAAGAAGTTGCTTGCTTACTGGAGCGATGTCGTGAAAGAGGTCTAAAACTGAACAAGGATAAGTTACGATTAAGGCAGAAGGAGGTGAAATTTATGGGACATCTCATAACTGCTGAGGGTCTGAAACCCGATCCAGAAAAAGTACGGGCAGTGCTAGAAATGCCCAATCCAACTGACGTCACTGGAATCCGACGTTTTCTAGGGTTTGTGAATTATCTAGACAAACTCCTTCCAACATTGAATGACAGATGTGAACCGCTACGCAAATTGACAGTACAAAATGTGGAATGGTGTTGGTTGGAAAACCACAGTAAGGCTGTGCAAGACATTAAACGATTGGTCACTTCGTCACCCTTACTTAAATCTATGGCCAAAATGATGAACTGAGACTACAATGTGATGCCTCTGAAAAAGGCTTAGAAGCCGCCATAATGCAGATGGGTCAACCTGTGGCGTATGCAAGTCGTGCACTGACAGATGTGGAAACGCATTACGCACAAATCGAAAAGGAACTACTAGCAGTGGTTTTCGGCATGAAAAAAATCCATCAGTATACATATGGGAGACCGGTAACTGTACAGGGTGACCACAAGCCATTAGAGATGATTCTTAAGAAATCTCTACAAAATGCACCAAAACGCTTACTGCGTTTTCTACTGAGGCTGCAAAAGTACAACTTTGCACTTACGTATAAGAAAGGTGAAACTATGTATCTTACTGAGACTCTGAGCAGGGCATATCTTGATGTCGGGGACAAAACAGCTCAGCTGGATGATACAGAGAGACTGTAAATATGGCACAGTTCTTGCCGATCTCGGAACCACGACTGCACGAGATACAGAAGGAAACTAGCACAGATGAGTCGTTACAAACTCTCGGGGAAGTCATATTGGAAGGTTGGCCTGAGTCCAAGTCAAAGACACCTGCTCTCGCGCAACCATACATGTACTTCATTTGCGAGATGAACTTGCGGTCCAGGATGGAATTATCTTTCGTGGGCAACGCGCTGTGATTCCTAGGACACTGAGAGCAGATATTATGCAGTCTTCGCATGTTGGAGTCGAAGGTTGCCTGCGGAAGGCGCGTGAAACAGTTTATTGGCCGAGGATGAGCTTTGAGGTACGCGACTATATAGAACAGTGTGGTGTATGTTGTGCATTTGACACAAAACAACCGAAAGAGACTTTAATCTCACATGGTGTACCAGATAGGCCTTAGGCTAAACCCGGGTCAGATCTGTTCTATTTTGATCAGAAGAACTATCTAATTAAGAATTGATTATTTCTCAAATTATTAGGAAATAGACTACCTACAGGACACCACATCGAAGACGGTCATCCGAGCCTTACGTAGTCAGTTTGTGCGTCATGGAATACCTGATATTCTGTGTAGTGATAATGGTCCTCAGTTTAGCTCTGATGAATTCCTGAGTTTCAGCAAAGAATGGGAAGAATGGGAACTCGATCATGTTACCTCGTCGCCAGGTTACGCCCAAAGCAATGGAAAATTGAAAAAGCAGTCAAAACTGGTAGGAGGTTAATGAAGTTGGCTAAAACTTCACACAAAGACCCATTTCTGGCACTCCTTGATTACAGAAACACTCCGTCACAGGGTATGGACAGTAGCCCTGTACAGCGTCTCATGAATAGACGCACAAAAACACTGATGCCGACGAAACCAGAAGTTCAGATGTCGTCAAATGCTAAGAAACAGTTGAAGGGTGTTAAGGAACGACAGACTTTCTACTACATTCAAACTGCGAAAAACCTGAAACCTCTAGGTAATGGAGAAGTTGTTAAAATAGCTCCACATGATGGTATGCTAAACAACCAGAAAACCTGGAACGTGGTGCTGTAAAGGAACAAGTTAACAAGAGGTCATATGACGTCACCACTGAGGATGGAAGAACGTATCGGCGAAACCGACGTCATATGAGACTGTCAAATGAACTTCACGCCGGAAGTTCAGGATTTTGGACCGAATGTGGAAATGGAGAGGGAACCACATGTTGCTCAGGAACCATATGTCGAGACCAATTTGGTACCAGCACCTAAATCACCACCAAACATGTGTATCTGGACCAGGTCAGGCAGACAGGTGGCTCTTCCTTCGAAATTTAAAGATTACTTACAGTGGAATAGTTCTAATTACCAATAATGACAATATAGTTTTTGTGCAGTAGAAACTTTAGGACAAATTCTTTATAAACTTTATCAAAAAATATTCTTGTAGAATTTAAAACTCATAAATTCCTACCTAGAGAATATGTCGTATGAATTTCTAGTCATTTCAGTCTTTAAGTGAATTTGTCATTTAATTCCGTCTAAATTTTAAAAATTTCTTAAGTATTGAAAGTTATTTTACCCGAGTAGACGCGTAGGTAACAAATGAGTAAATTGAGCAAGGCTAGGTACCTGAAACACCTTATCGAAGAGTATAATAAATAGAATAGCTCCTCATATAAACTAACTGTATTGTTGAACAGACATATTTATGATGACAGCAATAATATGGTATGCGTACATTCTTCAGTGACTCGTTAAAGGAAAGTATACAAAAACTTACGCACTGGGGAGGCAATGCTAATTCAGCAAGAAAATGTATGTAAGACATGAATGACCCCTTGACCTTGTAGTTGAACTATAAATAGCTTGGCCTTGGCGCTAGGATCCTCCAAGGTATGCTCATATTTGACCTTTGTATGAATTTTGAATAAAATGTGATAATAAAGGAAATCAGTTAAACCATGACGATATATATCAATGGAATGAGACGGACGTGGGTAACAANTAAAAAAATACCCCCCCCCCCCAAAAAAAAAATAATAAAAAAAAATAAAAATAAAAATAAAGATAAATAAAAAATGGCAGGGGCACGATTAAAAAACCTTAGGCAAATCTAGGTGCTTCGGAGTTGTAACTGTACCACCACATGTGACACTCAGTTTAACTACACTGAATATACTGACCCTAAAGGCTCACAGATGCTTCCGACATTTCCACAGTAGGTTAAGTTTTGCATGTGTCTCCCGTCCCACTCGCTAGAGAACTGGATATATACTTGCTGGTAGTAGAACGGTAGGTAGCAAAGCTCCACTAGTTGGTAACAATCCCGTGAATGTTTGATTAGAGCTTCGAGGATGTGTTCACTTTTGTATTGGACAGAGACAGGTTGTTCGTTAATCAGCATGATGGTTGTATACCCGGTGTCTCTCGTACTGAAATAGCAGTTTTCCTGTTCTGCCATCGTACCGATTAAAGCAGAGAACGGCCAGGTCATCAGTGCTACGTCATCTCTGTATGAGCAGTGGACAGCTTCATAACCTATTGACAACATAAATATGTGTTACCGTTGTCGTTATAATGTAGTAACTATAGAATGAGTAACATTCTACACACTGACAGGCTGGTGTCATAAGACGATTGGTTATACTCATAGTTAGCTGAATAATAAAGAAGTCTAACATCGGCCAAATAGCAGTTGCTTTTCTTTTTCTTTACAACTAAGGTCAATATCGCCAAGTAGACAACTTGATTTTTTCTTTTTTCAAAAGTCGAAAAAGAAATTAAGACAAAAAATCGTTTAATGTCAGAAGAAAATTTTGTGTACCATTAAACACGATGATTATATCTGGCTGGTGATTTACACACAGCTTTCGTTCGGCGCATAATTTTTTCAGTTTCGTTAAATACGTATTTTCACTCAGTATTAAATAATCATATAGGCGTTTTATATGGTATCAGTTCTCTTTTAACAAACCACTTCGCAGCCGTGTGAAATTGAAGGATTGTTGTTTCCACGAATTTCTCAAAATAACCGAAACACTGATGCAAACATTGCCATAAACAGTGAATCAAAGAATTAAACATAGACAGCTATGATATCACGTACGTTGTTTTACCTTGTATGTGAAAATGTACCATTTGAGATTTAGAGACAGTTAGGAGTGTTGTTAACTTACTAACATATATTCATCCATGTGTTAAATAGTGTACGCAATGCAAGTGATGGTAAAGTTATCTACCACATTACTAATTTTTCGAAATCCGTAAAATATTGAGTTTATCAAAAAAGACAAGTTTATATTATTTAAACTAAGGGAAGATACTTAAGAGAAATATTGCCTAAAATCAGGCCATATGTCCTGCCGGCAAATGTCTCAACTTAATTGTTACATAATGGTTATGATGCAATCATAAGTATCGTTTCAGAAAATACTTGTTTTACTGGTATCGTCCCAAACAAGAATATAATAACATATCGGTACCTAATATGGATCGAAACAGTTTAAACAACAGCTGAAAGATCTTCAGTAGATATCGACATAGTTAATTATCACCATTTTCTAGGTGGAAGAAATTATATATGTAACTATCATGTCAGTTTTGTATGTGTTGTGTAAAACGTAAGGTCTTAATTTAACCTCCTTTATAGTAACTTGTGTGATTATCCGCTGCCGTACATAACACGTACAATACATTCATGCGAGAAAACAGTGTTACTTTTGAAGTTAGGATCATTATTGAGAAGTGAAATTACAGTTAAGTTCTATTTGTTTGCATTATGAAATTTTCCTATTTTGAAAATTTACATTATTCGTGGTTTAGGTATTCCAGTGAGTAGAATTGCGCAGTTAAAATTCATTTCGGGTCGATTATTAAAAGTAAAATAAGTGGATATTTTCACATCACAAAATACAGCATTTGCAGCACGTATAACATTTAAAGTACTCACCATTGCTTGCAAGGTGCACTCTTACCAAAGTATCATTACACATTCGCTCGTGACAATGGGTCGAGCAGGAATATGTTGGGTTTCCAAGGTAACAGTCCTTCTCCTTCTCATCACTTCCGTCATAACAATCAGGAATCCTGTCACACATTCTGTATAAAGGAACATGTCTCTTGGATGGACATGGCCATACGGTCTGTATCTGCTTAGAATGACCTAGAATGGACCGTACCATTTTAGTAGAAGAACTATTGGAAGTCTTTCCAAAATTTGGCAATAAGCTGTAAATAACATATCTTAGTTCGGCCCACTTCATGTCGTTAACTGACCTTTCCGTATTTATTTCAAGCTATATATGAGTTCTTTTTATAGAAAGTAACAATCACATTTACAATCAGTTAAGTTTTCGCGACTTCTACTTTTCTTGGTTGTGTTGCAATCGAGAAAACTGTACTCGCTCATTAACAGAAATACAGGATGTTTCTCAAATGAAATTGAGATTTTGCTTTTAAGCGAGGGTTACATGAGTTCAAAACGAAGTTTTTGAGAAGGAGACCATATACAATTTAATATAATCGTAATACAATGTATATCGCTTCTTATAAACGTCTGGTAAAGTTTTTTCATGAAATGATATATTTATGCAAATCTCGGGCGCGTGATTCGATGTTATATATGTAATGGTACCTACCGTTACATGTTGTTGACCATTCGTCCGATCCGTCCGCACACTCCTTCTCACTATCGCAGACGTCATAACCGGCGATGCATTGGCCGTTATGGCATGTCCACTGACCCGACAAACAAGTCGACTTAACTACCGAAAATATCAAAGTACAATTACAATATGTCATAATGTAATAATGTTCACATAGCTTGGTTAATCAATATATAGAGTATCTGCATTAGTTTCCACTGCATAACCCAATATCATGACGTCACTTATGTTGAAAAAAAATCTTTTTGTAGAGTCCTTCCATTGGTGGAAAAAGTAAATGCTGAAAAACGCAATGCGGCCTCACATTTTGTTTGACGGCATCATGGTCAACTAGATTAGGTGGCTACTGAAGATTGAATCAAACCAACTGAACGGGGAATTAAACATAGATTCAGATGTAAATGATGTTAAACATGCTTGAAACTGATGAATTTCGTGCAGATTTTTTTGTTTTTTTTATTTGGCAGGTTTTCGGTCCTTTTGGCAACAGCATTCAAGTTGTTTGAAAATGTATGTTTTCGTGCTGCTGAAGATGTTCTGCTTCGATGTTCCGCCATGGAAAGGATATGTCTCAAAATATCAAAATAAAAAAAATAAAAAAAATAAAAAACAGGATTAATTACCTTCATTTTGATTAGAAGTAGGTTGTACACTGATGAGGTCATCTGTGTAATGAAAACAAAAAGGGAAATTTTATTCGTTTCAATTGTTTCAATGTCAGTATCTTTTAATTTAGAATATCCTCGGCGAGTTTATTATAAATTCCGATGGAAAGGTAACCCGTTTAGATTATTTTTATCGGGCATTACTTGCTTAATATAACATTTATTGGCGCAAGATTGAGGAAAATATCCCCCATCACCTCAATTCATCGTGAGCTGATGACGTCATCTCATTGATAAAGGTGACGTCAAAATGAGTGTTATAACATCGTACATGTTATACATTAAGACTAATTAATAGCTATATAAATGTAACAATGCATATAACGGCGTTAAAATGAACTCGTGACAAACTTACAACAGTTACGCTCCTCCGATCCGTCATAACAATCCTGGTAAAAATCACACACCAAGTTCAACGAGATGTATTTTCCATTGTCACATCGGAAGTTTACCACGTTAGTCTCGCCTGTAGTAGAGAAGTGTCAAGAGCAAGAGCAAAATAACTTCATTTTCTAGTTCCTTTTACATGATATGTTATAAATGGCATATTGATCTCAGTTCACAGACAATGGACGCAATTGAAAGTTACTCAAAAATGTTTCTATAAGATAAAACTAAATACAAGTGTTCAAGGGAGATAATTATAAGCATAATGTGTCATGTTATATAGACCGCTAAGAAGAAGCAAGACAGAGACGGACGTCGGCTTACTAGTGGACGTCTGGCATGCTTGACTTTCGTCTGATTGATCCAAACAATCCGGATGATGGTTACACACAAAGTAGGACAGGATGTACTCCCCTGTCTGGGTACACCGGAACAGGCGGTCAAAGACGTCCGGACTCGTCACGTTTACGTCACTTGATTCAGGTATACGTGTAGCTGGAATATAAGCTGACGGCATCATATTTCCAAAATACGTGATTGTACGTTAAATGACATATTTTGTATTAAACATCACATCGAAATACACATATGACATGTTACTGCATTAATTTATTCATATTTATTCTTCTATTAATTATATTTATGATAACGCGTCATTGGTACTTTTTTGGTGTGTATCAATCAGGTAATTACTGGTGAAAAGCTTCAGCGAATGTATGTACATTCTCTAAAGTGTTATATTGGACTCTACTATCAAAGTAGTAATACACATTCAATAAATGATAATATTGATACAATTTAACCATTCTATTCCTTTTTGTAATGGAAAGCAACGCATTTCCAGCATTAGTACGTCCCTGTAAGAATGAGTTATATAACACTAAAAGTATTGCTTTGTGTCCTCTGTTGTAACTCTAGGAGTCTTAAAGTGTATCAATTATAACTGATTTGATGCTAAATCGTTTTGATATGTGCCGTGTGTGTTTGTCTCCTATGAGTGTTTCTATGATAACATCAATTATTATTTATAAGTGATATGTTAATATCATTTCTAGACTTAGGAACAAAATGAAGTGAAATATTACATAAAGAAAACTTTTAGATATAACCAAATGGGGTGACGTGACCTGTGTATGAGGCAGACATGTTAATTAAACATTTCTGTATGCGGAAAGCAACTATCAGTTCACGTACGCTGTTGTTCCGTTTCCACCTCCTTTTCGATGGAATCTAGGCAGATGGAATACCACGTAAAGCAGCTACTGTATACCCAGTTACTGAAAGTATCCCCTCTGGTAGAAATAGATACACACATGCTCTGCTGATCCTCATAACCGTAGTCCATCCTGAAAAAGTGGTTTGAAGCATTGCTTTCTAGAACATGTTTGATGAAGAATAGTATAAAATGGTACGAGTTGAAAAAAAACCTGAAGGTGTCACCAAAACATGTCAGCGGGACATATGAAATATACAGCAATTTACAATTTTAAAAACAAACCAACAAACTTATTTTGTATCGTAAACGGCTTTATCATATGTGAGAATTTTGCTGGCATCACGTTTAAATATTCGGGTTATTCATCTATACTTTGTTAAGCTTTCTGCATCGGCAACAACAATTTTAATAGGTGCTACCAAGACAAGCTGTGATCCTATTTTAGTAATGTCATTAAAAATGAATGTAACGTAAAAGTCATTTTCAATGAAAGAAGTAAACATACAGCACTGCTAAATGTTTAAAACAAAACACAGGAAATACTTACCAGGCTGTGAAAGTCAGTCGTTTAGACATTTCTCTTTCGAAGTCTTTCCATTGAAAGTTTCTTTTTTCATTGATCAGTTCTGTTTCAAATTCAATGATGACCGACAAAAACATCGCAAACACATTAATTTTAAATATCAACGCAATCACTTAAAAATATACATCACGTTGAACGAAACTCAAACGAAATCTTGTTAAATATCCAAAAGGTTCCCACTTCCATGCTTTATTATGGAGTATTCACACTGACAGATTTATGTTGGCCAGAATAAACCCCCGTATTGTTATAAAATGAAATGAATTACCTTCATTTTTGTTTAATCTGTGGCCTGCATTTGTTATTTGGGAGAACAATTGGGTGATTGCATAATATAGTTGGCTTACGCAAATTGCAGACTGGGGAATCTAATTTCTATACACATGGTAAATAATACATACACATTCTAATCTCAATGAAATACATTAATAGAGACTGTTAAAGAATTTGAAGTGTGATTTATAAACTTACGAATCGGGAAATGTGGTTTTGAATAACGCATAATTCCGTACTGGTGAACGTATTTAGAAATTATGTCCGACGCCACTAGTTGTTCTTTCCAGTGAGTAATCGAGATTGCCTCACACAATTGCCTTCGTAAGTCAATGCTACCTACATACAAGCAACCCTTTCTAAAACAAAAACAAATTTTGAATTGTGTACCACAAAGAGGACAAAACAAAATAACCTGTTTATTCGAACATGCTAATACATGTACTTGATTTTTGTTTTTCCTTTAAAAGCAAAGGTGCATATATAATGGTGAATAAAAAAACCGCAATCAAATTATATCAATTAAATCTTCTCATTGACCCGAACATTCCATTTATTTCATAATGACACATAATATTTAGGACGTATCAAATGGTTTCCAGATGAATACAATTAACATAACGATTGTGATTTATTTCGAACTAGATTTGACAAAGAAGACAGTGTTTGGAATACTACGAACACGCACCTTATTATCTATTATTGATCATTTCCAAAGACGAAAACAAATTGCCAATCACCCATCACAAATCATATTGTGTATATTCATTTAACGCCACAATCAAATGGCACATTTGTTTTGTTAGGTCAAAGTTCATTCCATATTTTTACCAATAAATTATCATGTACATGTATATAAGATTCTTCATATATCACCAGTAGAATTGCTATAAACCGATTTTAATTTAGGGTCTGCAAACATATATTAATCCCGATAGTTCTCTAATTTGTATTTAAAATGACTATTCATTTTTTTCGCAGCAGTACTGTTTTAACTGCCTGATGATCATTTACAGTCGCATGTGAAATATATTATGCACGCAATTGTTCATTGAATGAAGGGTTTTTGAACTAATTCTACAACCTGATGGCCCTGAATATATCAAAACCGCCAATTCTTCCCCTGAACTCATTTACTTTATTTTTAATATTACCTATTAAGTAAGATTAAAAGAAACAATAGATATAAACAGTATACTTACCCTCGTACATATATACTCTCTACTTCATCTTCGTCTATGCATGTGTCTACAAACCAGAACATACCACAACGTAACGACGAGCAAACTCGTGTCATCAGATTGACAACCGAAGCAATAAAATCCGAATGAATCAAAGAATATTATTTCAAATGTTTACTTTTGTCACATTGGATGTTTTGCCTTCATACATGAATGGCTCCTCCAGTTACACTCGTTATGTCTTTAATAACATTGGATAATCTTACAAAATTGTTTGTGCACTTTTTGTACATACATTTTGTACCTTGGTATACACTGGGTGTTATCCTCTGATATATTGGGTATTCTATCTTGGTATATACTGTGTGTTATCCTCTGATATATTGGGTATTCTATCTTGGTATATACTGGGTGTTATCCTCTGATATATTGGCTATTCTACCTTGGTATATACTGTGTGTTAACCTCTGATATATTGGGTATTTTTTCTTGGTATATACTGGGTGTTATCCTCTAATATATTGGGTATTCTATCTCGATATATACTGGGTGTTACCCTCTGATAGGTTGGTTATTCTACCTTGATATATACTGGGTGTTATCCTCTGATATATTGGGTATTCTATCGTGGTATATACTGTGTGTTATCCTCTGATATATTGGCTACTCTACCTTGGTATATACTGGGTATTATTCTCTGATATATTGGCTATGCTGCCTTGGTATATACTGGGTGTAACCTCTGATATATTGGGTATTTTACCTTGGTATATACTGGGTGTTATCCTCTGATATATTGGCTATGCTGCCATGGTATATACTGTGTGTTATCCTCTGATATATTGGCTATGCTACCTTCATATATACTGGGTGGTATCCTCTGATATATCGGGTATTCTATCTTGGTATATACTGGGTGTTACTCTCTGATATAGTGGCTATCATATCTTGATATATACCGGGTGTTATCCTCTGATATATTTGGTATTCTACCTTGGTCTACACTGGGTGTTATCCTCCGTTATACATGATAGTCTACCTTGATATCTAATGGTGTTATCCGCTGTTGTACTTGACACAATTGGTAATCTATCTTGGTAAACACTGGTGTTATCCTCTGATATACTTCATATACTGTGGTTTTCTATCTTGGTATAAGCATTCATGTTTATACTTGGTGTTATCCTCTAATAACTGGGTATTCTACCTTGGTATAAGCGTTCATGTATATACTTGGTGTTATCCTCTAATAACTGGGTATTCTACATTGGTATAATCGTTCATGTATATACTTGGTGTTATCCTCTAATAACTCGGTATTAAATCTTGGTATAAGCGTTCATGTATATACTTGGTGTTATCCTCTAATAACTGGGTATTATATCTTGGTATAAGCGTTCATGTATATACTTGGTGTAATCCTCTAATAACTGGGTATTCTACCTTGGTATAAGCGTTCATGTATATACTTGGTGTTATCCTCTAATAACTGGGAATTCTACCTTGGTATATGTCCGGTGTTATTGCCAGATAAACCAGATATTTTACTTGGTGTTATTCTCGGATGTACTTCATACTCTTCCCTGGTAAATGTAACGTTACAGTACATGTTTAGTGTCGCTCTACTCATACTGTATTTGTGCATGGAGTTATATCCCTTGTTACATTGTACACTCTCCACTATATATATAGATATGTGTTGAAATACGAATGATGAACACGTCTCGTCGTTGTGTGTTGTCATTCTTAGATCATCGTGCATCGCCAGGCAATTGTTGAGTCCTCACCAACGATAACAAACAATTAAACATTATAGTAAATACTGGGTGTTATCCTCCGATTTCCTAAATGTTCTGCCTTAAAGCATAAAACATGTAACTGTACTTACCGTAAGAAACAGACACGTTGTGCAGCGCGGAAGTGGAAGTATTTGTGTCCTTCTGAACACTCGTACGGCACTCATACATGCTGCCGTCTTGGTTGGAACAATACTCAATTTGTAAAACACTCAACGTGGCATGATCGGGGTTGGTTGTTATTGTTATTGTCGTCCTGTACTTCCATCTGCCCTGGTCTGGTTCTATCTTGACGTTGGTTCCGTTCACGACGAGAAACCATGTTAGGGGTAACATTGATGGATAGGGGGCGGTACACGTCAACGTCAAATTTTCCTGGAATTTCACCTCGTCAGGCCCAGTTACAGCGAACGCTTTGGAGAAAAACACAAATAATGCACTTTTTTTATTTACTATGACAATACCAGTACCTTAATGTTTTGCTCATTGCCCGGGGATTTTTGATTATTCACTTTAAAATGTCTTTGTATATCAAATCTTATACTTTTGCAAATATAAGCAAAACCACAACAAAATGAAAGACATTATCAGGCCGTATGATCGATCGTGTGCCTGAAAATTGAGTCATACATTTGGGTTAAAACATGAACGTGGAGTACTCGAAGTCCCCATTAATGTTAACCTCAGAGTATTGGCTGGTACTTAAACATATCAAGGATATATAGATTTAACTCACATTTGAATCTGAACACTGATAAATATCTAGATAAGAAAAGGTGAGAGTTCTGTTTAACTAACGTTGAAACTGAACCTAGTATTTACTGCGGATAATAGTTCGTATGTAGCAGATAACCTGCGATAAATACGCAGACTTAATTTCCTAAACACGATACTTTCCGGTGTGCAAGCAATATTACGAAGTAGTCAATACGCACGAAATAACGGTAAATCGATTTTCTCCGGTAGTTTGTAAAGGTAAAGGTTACCACTGCATCAGTTATAATCGCAAAAAGAAGTAAAATGCCGAGTTGCCCTCCCTACTTTAAAGCAGATGTAGTAGCCAAAAAGGAGACGAAATGCAGAGTTGCCCCCCCC